GGAAACGGGCCCAGCGTCCCATATACAGATTGAATTTGCAGCATGTCAGAACAAGAACCATTGTGGAAGAGTCCTGCCAGCATTGATTACCCTGGCATCCAGGGGATTGACTGAGCAGGAGGTAGGGGAGGGGGGGGGGGACCTCTACACCTTGGAGCCGGCGCCAGATACCTACTGTAACTCACTAGTTCCTCCCTCCCCCCACCCAGTCTGAACTGTCACTTCCCAAGTCGTCGTCCTGCACCCAGCCCACCCGCTGGAAACCGGGTCCAGCGTCCCATTTATACATCATGTAGCACTTAGATTGGTGACTGTGGATTTCCTGGGGCTGTGCACCTTGATCCTCCCGGGGCTCCATTGTCCCATGGAACTGCTAATGTCACCCATCCCCTTGTGGGAGCTCCCCTTGTCCCTCTGCCCAGCCCTGTTACGGCAGTCCCCCTGTTTGTGCTGTGCAATCCATGTTGTTTTTTTACCTGAGGAGAGGTGTCAAGAGGTGGAAGACTCCTGCCAGCATTGAGCAGAAAGGAGGAGTCTCCTGCCAGCATTGATTACAGTCTCCCGAGGATTGACTAAACAGGAGCGTTGGAGGGGGGAAAGAGCCTCTTCGCTCTGAACCAGGCGCCAGATGTCTACTACTCCAATCTAGCTCTTCCTCTTCTGCCAATCTCCTACTACAAATCTCTACATATCTCGAACCTCCCAGGGATTCAGTCTGCGCCGTCAGATCCATACCATTGCAGGTCCGCCATTGCCAACTGGTCGGGAGGGAAGGGATCGGGGAATTCTGTGGGTGGTCGCATCGGGAACTCCTGGCTCATCACTGTCCAGTCCTTGAAACAAATGTTGTAGTCCTTTCTAAACTTTCCCTGGTGGTCACCCTGGTCACCCTGGATAGGCCTGCCTTCCCATCTGACGGAGGCAATCCAACCCCCATTCTCGCTACCCAACCAGTCCCTTGAGAATTGCTGGATTGTTTGCACTATATCCTTGGCTGAGTGGAACAGGTTTAATTGAGTCTTAATTCTTTGCCATTGTACCATTAGTTCTTGTTGGACGTATTGTTTTATAAATTCTGTCACTTCTCCCTCCGCTGTGCGGGCCCCCTCTATCGCATGTATACAGCGTTTCCTTCAGAGGGCCCACATGACCGCTGTCCTTCCTGTTTGAACATGTTATTTTAAAAAGTGCTGTCCGTGGGGGAGGCCCATGTCTCACATAGTATGGCTTTCCAGTCCCAGGGCCATTTTGACCCAGTGCCCAGACGGGACCAAATTCTATCCCACCATCGCCATGTGAGGACTGCCCCCGGACATTGCATGAATATGTGTTCTATTGTTTCCGGGATTTTGCGAGAGGGGAAGGCAGTGTGGCACGTCTTGCACCAAGGTAGCGCCTGTCCTCTCTGCTCCAGATAGGTACGGTGTATCAACCAGTCATTGGTGGGTAAGCAACGGTGTTCTATCTGCCACTGCAATGAGGCCATTTTGGCTGGCCTGGCTCTGGTGGCAGTGAACCAGCGGATGGGACGGATCACTTCGGTTCCTAGATTTAATTGTGATCTCCATCTTTCCTTTACCTTTTCCTTTATATTTACTTTGACTCGCATGGTGACCTGAAATCGGAAATTGTGACGTTTGGTTCCATGCATTTGTAATTTTGTACCTTTGGGTCCCCATGTGGTCACATGGGCCTTCTGTCTCCAGGAAGGACAAAGACGCGGACTTGACACTTGCACCTCACTCCTATCTGCTGTCGCGGGTGTTTATTAAAAAAAAAAAAAAACAGGGCTGTTTTCCTCGTGCACAAATTTGAAATTTCTTCATTTTTTTTCTTTTTTTGGATGCTCACAGGACCCACCCCAACCTACCTCTTTGTTCCTTTTCCTACGCGTAACCCCTGCTTCCCCATCTAGGGGGGCACTTATTGGCCCTACCTCTGATATATGGAACAGCAGTGGCAGGCACCAGCGCTAGGCCAGGACAACCTCTCCCAAATTTTCTCTGATCAGCACATGGAAAAAGGAAAAATGGAAAAGACACTCGAGACCACCTCTGGAGGTGGTCTCATATTGGGTCCTCCTGTGGCCCCTGCAGGCCGCTGACATTTGGGTCACCAAAAAGTGCAATTGGGTAGCGGGAGGACCCAATGCGACCCCAAAACCTGCCTCAAATCTAGGTCAGTAGGTCCTAGTTTGAGTATGCCCTGTGTGTCGGTACCATCAAGTCCACATGGTCTCGTCTTGTGGGTGTGCGTTGGTACAGGCCACATAATTTGACCCACCCCACATGGTGCCTTGCCGCCCAACGTAGTATATAGGTGTGCCAAGGACCAAGGTGGGTGCTTTTGGGGACACCGTGTGTGTGTATTCTTGGGGGCCATGCGTGTGTGTGTTGTTGGGAGCTGTGTGTGTGTGTGTGTGTGTGTGTGTGTGTGTAAAAAAGTGATCTTTACAAGTACTTATGTTGCTTAGGTCTATTTGGCTCGTGTTATATTGTGCATACTAAAGTAATACAATGTAATACAATAGAATATAGAAATATATATGTATATGAATATTTTATATATAAGTAATACAATGTAATACAATAGAATATAGAAATATATATGTATATGAATATTTTATATATATATCGTCACAAATAGAACTGCCGACGGTAAACCGTAGGCAGAGAGAGAGAAGAGGACAACAAACGGGGGCCTGTGACAAACTGTTTCGTCGGATATATATATATATATATATCGTCAAATAGAACTGCCCGGTAAACCGTAGGCAGAGAGGGATATATATGTATATGAGACCAAAATCACCGGAATCTTATACAAGCCTAAAGAAAAACAAGGAACCAGTATGAGAACAAGGAAATTCAAATTTGTGTGTGTGTGTGTGTGTGTATGTGTCTTCTTGGGAGCCGTATGTGTGTTTATTCCCTTTTGAGCTAGGCTGTCTGTGCGGGCGCCCGGGCGTTCGGGCACGCATGTTGTGCGCAGAAACACGCCTGGGTACCCGGCCGGGCACACACCCGGGTACCTGGCCGCGCATGAACCCCAGGTAGATGCCAGGCAGCCCCAGCGCCAAAAAAAAAAACAGGAAATAAAAAAAAATCCAGAAAAGAAAAATGTTGTACAGAACTGTAATACAAACGACTTTTGGCTGAGGCTCACATCAAACGGGGAGCTCCTTTTTTTTTTTTTTTTTTTTTTTTTTAAATCAAACGGGGAGCTCCTAGTAACCCTGTTCAGCAGAAAGTGTACCCCTGAAAAAGTCTGCTGGGCCCG